AGATGGCTGCCCAGCCCTAGTATTCCTGCATTCCGACCATCTCGTCCATTTCTCCCAAGCAGGTAGGTATACGGCAGCCGCACGAGCACTCCAAAGAAGCATCGTGGGTGCCCCTCTACCAGCTCTAGCCTGGTCCGGCACCTCCATGCTAGTCTTATTTAGAGCTCTGTGAGCCAAAAGAGTCTCGCTGCAAGGGAGGAGGACCCAGCCAATAGTTCCCTGGAGGTCGACACGCATGCACTTCTCTGTCACGTTCGCCCATACATCGTGCTGTTCCCCTGCCCTACTGCATCACGTTGCCTTACTGGTTTGACATACATGCATGAGATTAAGTGGCCAATGCGGGGCAGAGACAACCTACTCACGCAAGCGACTGAGATAAAACATTGCACACTAAAGCTCTTTTTATGTAAGTCAGGGACCTCATTTTCTTATTAACAATACTAATTATAATAATAAGCTAATTATAAATTATTCTATAATATTTAGATCAATATTATGCTTATTACTAGGTTGATTGTTTTGATATTGTGTTGCAATTCAACGCTGGAGGTTCTGGGTGTGCCATGTTTTATGTCAGTCGCCTGTCACGTAATTGACCAACCAACCAAGTAGATATACTGCCCCATCACAACTCACTGCATCCCAATGCAGGCAGCCGTGGCTTCCGAGTGAACTTCGAGGGTGTGCCCAGTCACTCGAGACCAATTACACTTTAGGCTCACAGGCATCGAGGTTGACCTATGTATTTGAAATTCGCAACCGCGTGAAGTGAGTGTCTTTTCAGTAGAACTCCTACTTCACCTCGGATCTTAGCTGTAGTATTTGGACGTTGGTATCGACCTATATATATATATGGTTGAAAACAGTTCGAGCAACAAGAATAATAAAAAAAGGAGGGAACTCTCCTCTCTAGAAATGAAGAATAAAAAAACGCCGAAGAAAGAAAAACTCGCCAAACTCCTCAGCTCCTAGCATGGTGAAGGAGCTCAAATGCTCCGATGTAAAAGTTCAACACACCCTTCCAAGAGGCCTAACCATTTCGTTCCCAACTGTCCATCCCTGTAAAATTTCCAAACCTAGCTGTCCCAAAAGCAAGCCTCCCAAATATATAATCATGTAGTCATTGGACCTCTGTAGGTTGAATCATACAAGGCGTAGCAGCCTCCCAATAGTTTCGTTGGTAAACACCGGTGGATCTGGTACCTCATAGTATTTTTGCCGGTTCCTTTTCCATTTGTTTGGTACGACACCGGCATGTGTAGTTGTTGCGCAACATCCACCCAAATTCGATGACTCTCTTTGGTCGAATAAAAGTTGCTATCGGAGCCCGTCGGCAGCCGGGAAAGGCTATGATACTGGTATGCGTTGCTGCAACAGACTTCCAGTTTTATGCGTTTGTTCCTCTGATTTCGCTTCCAAGATGCCACAAGAAATGTCCCACAATCGTTTCACCATCGGTACTGTCTGTCGGCTGTCGGGAGTGTTGGCAAGTGAGCCGCTCTTGCAAGAAAGCAAAACTTCTGTGCAAACAGGTGAATTGTGTGATTTGAGGAGGATAGAATCCAGCCCCGTTATAGAATTCCCGAATCTTTCAGCGCATTGTTTAGAATCGTCTCCTTGACGGCTGCAAAAACAAGCCGAATGTTCGATGTGTCGGTCGCTTGCGTTAAGCTAAACTATCGTTAGCATCCCCAGACATTCTCATACTGCACGACAACAAGATACATACTGGGGATATAGGTTGAGGTGCGCCCTGTTCACTTGATTGAAGCGCCAGAGCAAGTACTTGGCGGCCTTATTTACGTCATTGCCGCCCGAGTAGTCGGGGAAATAGTTCCCCAACGGCGACCTGCTAAGTTTCTGCTTGAAAATATCGACCTTGTTCAGGAAGAGGATGATACTAGTCCTCATAAACCAGCGTGAGTTTACGACAGAATCGAATAAGAGTAGACTCTCCATCATGCGGTTCTGTTGCTATTAGTACCGGCGTTTTTTTGACAGCACATGAAAGAACTCACCTGGCTGCTTTCCTCGAGAAGGACCTGGTCGTATTCGCTGAGAGCAACACAGAAAATGATCGAGGTGACGTTTTCAAAGCAGTGAATCCACTTCTTCCTTTCGCTTCTTTGGCCGCCGACATCGAACATACTATCATGGAGGTCAGCGAGTTTATCTCGCGTATCGTTTATCGCAATTAAACTTACTGTATGCTAAGCTGGCCCATTTGGAAGCGAGTCTCGTAGATGCCGGTGGTTTTCGTACGAGCTCGCAACACATCCATCTCGCTTGGTAAATAATCTGGCGCACAGATGCGTACAGCCTCTTGGAAGAAACTACGCCTAGGTTAGCTTGGGCACACCTTGGTGGAACATTTTGAAATCTGTGGTTGGGGACGCTCTTACTATTCAGCCGAATCCATCAAGTAGAACTCGGTCTGATGCTCCATCAACTGGGCCTTTGAGGGATCATTCCACAAAGACTGAACCGCAATGCCAACTTGCGGGTCGATATGTGCTTGCGGGCCTGATTCGGGTTGGTAGTCCAACATAAACTGGGCAAACTCCTTGTTTTCCGCAATCTCCGGGACGATGTTAAATTGTTGCATCGCAGTAATGACAGCCTTGGCACATTCCACCAGGTTCTTGAAGACGGTCGGTCGGTAGTTGAACAGTTCGTCTTCGGAGTAGCCTTTGAGGTGGATGATTTTCATCTGCTTGACAATAGTCGACTTGCCACTCTCGCCAGAGCCTGTGTCGCTGGCTGTTAGCTACCTTGCACCGAACGGATTAAGCGAGGTGTGAATTTTCAAGCATACCTAAGAGCAAGATCTTGCATTCTTTCCGTAACTTTTTCGAGTCTTCTTCCAGCATCTTATCTATCGCTTGGCTCTTCTTCTTCTGGTCCGCCTCCTCATTGCTTGAGCTCATACAGGCGCCCATGGTGGGCAATCCAGAGCCTTCACGAGTTCGGCAGGAAATTCAAGGGGCTCCGACTTCGATTATAGCGGTTTGGATCTGATGAGCCATAAACCGCACTCTACTGTCGCATTATAGTCGTCAATATTTCGAGGATGAAGACGATTTGTGGATTGTCAGCCTCGGAGGCTGTCCCGCAACAAGTCCGGCCAGCTGCGGGAGACTCGGTAGAGGGATGGAGTCGCGTAATGCACTGGAACGCCGAGGGTGGGTTTATTCCAAGTGCAGAAAGTCGGGAAGAAAGAATTATCGAGAGCTGTATCTATTCCAGGGTGTAAATGGCGCAGTTCTGTTGACCTGGGTTAGGTGCCGGCGGAATTGGGAAGGCAGGGTGTCGAGGGCGGTGCGCCTGGCTATGATGACAATTCGGCGAGTCGTCGATTTCTGGTGGACCAATTGGTGTTGGCTCAGGGCGAAGTGATGTGCTGGTGTGGAGGCGAAGGCTGGGGACTCTAGCCTGACAGGTGGCCGATGTTCTGCATGCGTGCAATATGGGAGCGATGGGGGATATTCAGATCTGCTTCTAGTCGAGAAGCAGCTGGTGGGCGAGAGGTCGTTGTAGGACAATGGTGAGATGAAGGCGGGCAGGTTGGAATCGGACGGGTTCAGCTATTAGCCGTCGTTTGTTCATTAAGTCCTCGCCTGAACATAAGACAGATAAAACAAGTCGAGCTAGGATTCTTGCAGCGAGGTACCCCGTAGTACCCGTACTTAGCCCAGTGTGGCATGTACCAACCAGCGGCCGACGGTTTTGCTCTGGCGCTCGGACACGGCTTGCCTTGTTGCTCGAAGGATGCAGATCACAGAATGCACGGCGTTTTCATTCGTCTCCCTTGCTCGTGGGAGAAACATGCAGTGGTGTTGAACAGAATTGAGACGGGGCTGGGCTGGGGCCTAGAAGAGGGAATAAACAAAGTTCAAGTAGTCGCTTCGCTTGGGCTAATATGGTACGAGGTGGGTGCACCAGCTCGAGGTACCAAGGCCAGCCAGAGTGCGGTCAGGTATGGAGGTATGGAGTATGGGGAGCGGGCTGGCTGGCTGTGAGGCGGATGGGCGTAAGCTCCCATGATGGAATTGACGCCTGCTGGGTACGGACTGGACAGTCATACGTGCCGGGGGCAGAGCGATCTGGAATTGACCTGGGCGTGCCTGCCTGTACTGCCCCCTGCAAGCTGCCTTACCTTGATCGGGCGCAGCCAAGTCAGTGAGAGGAAGCAGAAGAAGAAAAAAAAAGAAGAACGCGGCCACTCTACTGGTCATGCCGCCTTGCACCAGATATGCACCTGCCTGCGATGGAGGCACATGGCCTGGGCACGTTCGTGGCTTCACGGACGGCCCCATCCCATTGATGGGACGGGCGTAATACCTTGCCTCACCTCGCCTTACGTGCGTTCAGCCTGCTTAGGCAGTATCTCCCTTCCTGCTTAGGGGCCTCCGTCGCTGCCGACACGCGCGCAGCGCAGAGGCGGCCTGTCTCTGTCCATCCTACCAGTTGCCTCCTTAGAGCTGTTGGTAGACCCTTCAGCAACTCTCCCCGCGCTGGTTTTCGACTCCGAGTCCCAGCCCAGAAGCTAGCAGCGAGACTGCACATCACAGCTAGATTCGGCAGTTGCGGGTTTTAGGCTAAGCATAGCGCCATAGTATCCTGCTTTTTAGCTTTCCATCCGGGCACAGGCACCCCGTTATTTCCACCAGGCCGCTGTACAGAATCAATAGTTGCATTGCCATGGAGTCGCATGGACATCGTCGACCTGTATGGGTGCGGCTAGTACCTGGCGAAATTTGATGTGCTGCCACCTCTTTCATCTTAGCGCCCTCGCCGCTCTTGCTAATGTAATGGCTCACTTAGATGCTCGAGGTTCCCCTCACGCTTGAGTTAAGATAAAAGTGATGACTATAATAATTTATTGTATTTTGGTAAACTATATTGAAATATAGTCAGCGAAATTACCACTCTGTGCCCTTCAGCTGCTGGGAATTTTTCTTACGAACCTTCTGATTAGTTTGGTTAGGGTTGCCTTTATGGCCCATGTTCAAGAACCCTCACCACCTGTAGTCGACGCCTCTGATCGCATGTAAGTAAACTGTGCACCATTTCTATTTTTTTTTTTTTTTTTTTTTAGCTGATTTTAATTCATTCACCACGTTTAGACCAGAAGCGCCTATTCTCGGCGTGACTCTGAGTTGTCCACCCACACTGGAATGGGATCGCACTCCGTTCCGCATCCAGGCCAAGGTGGCATACCTAGGGGTTTCAGATAGTAGTAGTACGCACTCAGCCGAGCCTATTACCTTCAACAACTATCCATTCTTCGAAGACGAGGGACTATTCCGGGGCATCCAACTCTTCCACTTCCACGATGATCACTGGGAGGTGGTTGATGATGAGGGCCATGGCGGGTTCGGCATTGCGGATGACCCTGATGTTGCTGTATGCCCTGCGAATCATGAAAGTTTCATCAGCCTGGCGCCTGAGGAATCATGGACCTTTAACAGGTTGATCCAAAAAGAGATGTGGAACATTCTACCTCTGAAGACTAAGTTGGGCGACAAGTTTCGATTTATAGCGAGGTGAGGTGGACTGGTGGGCTTGGGGCGGCGCTGAGCAACATCAAAATACTAGTATCATGTTATCTTGCTACCAAGCAGGTCCCGTTAGAGGCCCGGTAGGTAATGAGGGACGACCGAAACTACTGGTTCCAGGGTCTAATTGGGTTCAGTTTACGGTTGTTGAGTAACTTATGTCTGATAGTCAATTACTCTGTGGCTTTAGACATTTTAGACCAAACGACCTATGATTGACGAAGGCCATACGATTGCTGGTACTTCTTCAATGAGTAGATTAGCATAGCCATACTGCAATGATTCTCGGTGAAGCAGAGGGTTGAGAGAATCATGTGTTTCTGTCTTGTTGCCCCCGGTCGCCTCAGCAGCCTAAAAGCGGCGCTGCTCAGGGAACCTGCCGACACCAGGATGGCATTGTCATGGACTGTTTCTCGCCAGCAGCTATAATGCATACCTGTTTACATACGACACATGGTATTGGTGCATAGAGTGGGATTGCAGGGCTCCATGTGCCGCTGGCTGGCCATCAGCTTCGATTGAACTGAGGCGTACGCCCGAGGCCAGCCTCCCCAAAATTGAAACCTCCCGGCAGCATGCGATGGGATAAAGGCATGAATTATTGCCCTAGGAGCCAAAACACCCACACCTGCATGAGCAGCCATCATCTGATCCATGAAATAAGGTGGACATGGGAGTCCAATACGGGCTGTATCAAGGCTCCAAGCACAGCCTTGGCAAGGCAATTAGTGACATCGGGCAGGCGAGGGAGGCTGTCGAGGCCGCATGTACCATTACATAGCAATTCTGCGTTGCACCCTTGCATCCCACGAAATGCACTTCTCTCAAACCATCACCACTTAAACGATCTTGGGCTTTTATTGAGTCATTGCCCACCCTGCGATGGCCAGCTTGCCTTTTCGTAGTGAGCTAGGGGCGCTGGTACCTTCGTATACATGCACACATCAGAGACATGGGAAAAAGGAAGAAAAGGGAGCTGCGCATGATGCCAATAGCTAAAAGGCGGCGTCCATGCAATACCTGGCGCGCGTGGGCCTCCTGGTATGACCTTGCCCAACCCTTCATGCGGCTACCACTGAAAGCGGCATGGCGGCCTTTCCCCTATGCTTCTGGAAACATCCTGTAAGAGCACTAAGATGCTAACGGCTGCAAGCAGCTTCCCAGCTGGCTGTGACAGATGAAGAATAGGACGATAGCCGATGCACGTGTGGCTACCAATCAGCGAGCCGGAACCGGCGTGTGCAGTCCAGGCTCGTCACTGGGGTTCGATCTGGACCATGCTAGCCGAAAGGCTCTTTAGCATCAATCAATTCATCGCATGGAATCCAGATACATTCCCAAAGTAAGTACCTGGTAGGTAATACAAGGAGACTGGGCGGCGCAATTTTACTTTGAGCGAGGGGGTTGGGACAAACGCCTGGGTATCCCGCTCAGCCCCTAATGCTTGCCCACCAGGTATTGGGCAAGGCATGACCTAGTTATGCTCCTTGGGCAGCCAATTACGACCCCGGAACGTGGTAGGGAACTACACGTGGTTTTTGTTGCCAGAATGAAATCGGTGAGATTATCATGTCGGTTCATGGTGCAAGGACCACCAGTAGCAGATCCTCCACGCTCGCTTGCTAAAAACAAACTCGTTGCCAGCTGACAAGGCTCGGCTCGATGCGGATATCTTACAGGCTACCCAGGCCATTCGCCGACTGACTTGGACACTTTCTGTGTGACCGAGGAGTGTATTAGCTGGTCAGGTCAAGGCTGGATGGAAGCTGAATAGTGGAAATCGTGCTAGATATCATGTTAGTGGGTCTGGTAGAGAGCTGGTAAACGCTTTGCTGTCCGGGCTGGAAGCTAGTACCGGCAGGTTGGTCAATGCGACAGTTTTTGGGATAGCAGCGATGTTACCCCGATGGATGGATGTTATCGGGAGGGGGGTAGCACTAGGAGACTGTTAACCACCGATTTTTCTCTCCGAGTCATTCTTTGGGGTACTTTGCTCGACTTTCACCAACAGCCTCATGAAGTACGCAATTTTGGGGGAGGGCAGAAAGCACAGCTTGTTATGTAACACACACCTGTCCTGGGCTGGGGCCACAAGAATAGAAAAGGCGAAACAGCCCGGGGTCCCGGATAATAGGAAAATGCCCATGTCGGTGAATGGACTACAACACCTACGTAATCTGGATATTTTGTCTGCAGTACATTGTGTGTTGGGAATACACTTCAAAAATACCTAAGGTACTCATCATGAGTGTTGGACAATCAAACCATCCATTAAGCTTCGCTCTACGGAGAAGGAGTGGGGTGGCTTGGTTGCTCTGTATGCGCTCACAAGCAAGAACTTGACACCTGAATTGGCTATCCGGGTCCGTGTTCCATCGGATGATCGGAGGGCTAGAGTAGTAGCGCGCGCGCAATGACTTTGGGGAGAGGGTAAGCTCTCTTTAGGCCATTTCTATAGCTGATCATTCTCGTCCATCGGTCAATGTACTGAATCACCTGCTAACAAAAGAAGGAGGGTGACCGGCGATCCAGAAAGTAGAAAAAGAGTCAGTCGATTATAAGGGTGAATATCGCTGCATGCTTAGAGTGGCGCTTGTGAGCGATTGGCAGCGAGTTGCTAACAGGACGTTGCTCATGGTAAGCAAAATGGGTGTGTCAAGTGATCACCGCAGAATGTCCTCTCCATTCGATGTTACAAGGCTAGTGTGGTGAAAGGGCTGCATCGGTTGAGTCCGCGATTATAGCAGAGTGAGGCATTGATGGTGTGCCACCGCGGAAGCAGACGTGGCTGCCTACCTACGAAAAGATCAAACCATCAAATGACGGTCGGTGCCGCTACCATACGGCTTCTCGGTAATGCGCTGCGTTTCGAGTGCAAAGGACAACCAAAGGCCAACACAGTATTAGCTAATGAAGGGTCAGGAGCTGAAACGGCAAGGCGGCCAGACGATACATCGACGGTAATACCTCGAGGCCGGTAGGCAATTACCACATCTGGCCCAACCCCATGTATCAGCTCCGCAAAACTCTATTCCTGACACCAGCGAGGACGGCCAGCGAGCACAATCAGTGCCGGGCAGCCACCGTGGGTCTTGGCCCAGGCATGTGTTTGTGCAGGATGGCAGCTCGGACGGCAGATTCAGCTCAAAACGATTGGCCGGGGATCAGGAGGGAGCGATATGCAATGCAAGACACGCTGGCAGCCCAGACCGAAACCTGGATGGTTGGATACCAGGGACTGCCGATTGTACACTGAGCCCACTTGAAGAGGAGACGGATGGGAAGGGTGTTGAGCTTTGCCGCCATTTGAGCGGTGGGAGCGACGATGAAGGCCAGCTGTAATGAGAATGGTTGCTCGCCGCCATCCAGGCAGTCCAGTTGACTCTGAACAATAGGCTGCTTGGTACGATATTCAGATACTACCTCCCTGGTCGGTGAGAGGAGATGCTTGTATTACCTGCATGGTCGATTGAATAGGGGACGGGACAAAACCTGGAATCCGGTCAACAGCGTTCATGCCATCCCTGAACCCTGCAGACGATAGCCACCTCGATGTCGAAGCCAGGAAGGCACGCTCGAGACTCAGTGAGAGGCTGTCCTGAAGCCGAGGAAGGCACCAGCGACGTCGAGAAAACCAGAGAGTGGCAAGAGGCAGGACGAGGGGCTCACCTCACCCACCAATAGCCAATAGCGGGGGGGTGCTCTAGCAGTCAGTTAACCTTGAGGGTGCTAGATGGAGCTGATGGAGCTGATGGTGGGACAAACCTCCCTCGCGGCGGCTCGCGTCCTGGCTGGGCTCGTTGGACTAATTAACTAATTTGGCCAAAAAGGAGTCGTTGACGATAATCATCGGACATCGTGGGTTTGGTCCAGGACCGGCCGCTGGGATTGACATACGCCTTTTCTTTTCTTTTCGTAGCCCCTTTACCATCTTCATCGCAGCCCCTCCCCCTTCAATCCGCCAGCATACATTATTCTTGATACCACCATCCATCCGGACTGACTGACGTATTGTCTCCGCCAAGCAAGGGATCCCACCACACACTAGATTTCTGGGAGCCCACCGCCTACAGCACTGCTCCTCTCCAGTCCCAATTCGCTTGACAGCCCTTTTGCACATCACTTGTTCCCATCGTGGGCTCCATAACCAGAATCTTTAGTTTCTTTTCAAGGACTATGCATTCTTAGGTACACCCCTCGACTCCAGATCCCCGGAATTGAGGAGCTATCGCGCGCGACACTGCAACGACATCCACGAGTGACACCCGACTGTGCATCGCGCCCCAGACCAGACAACGCCAACACCCCCTACGACAAGATCATCGGCCTTGGACAAGAGCTTCCAAAGACACCGAGCCCGGGCCCGTCCTCCACAGGCAACGGATACACGACGAGAATACATATGGCAGGGTTATAGAGCATTGTGCGAGCGCTAGGACTACAGATTGCTTGGATCTGATTGCGGCACCATCGCCCAGCCCGCAGTATGAGCAGCGAGGACAAGGACAATGCGCCTGCTAGCGCAGACCTGCAGAATGTCCCATCTTCAACAGGAACCCCTCTCTCTGTTTCGAGCAGTACAGAAGGCACGCCCTTCATACCTCTCGTGACTGTGGTGGGATTTCACCATGCGAGGGGCCCTGAAGTGGAGTCATGGTTTGGGGCAGAGGACGATGTCGACCCTGCCGTTGAGTATCAATGGTCTCTTTTGCCCTTCATGGCCTTGAGTGACGGTGCGCATGCGTGAGTAACCCTCCAGATCTGCTCTTCTGTCACATTGGGAGAAAGCTAACCCTGCGCAAGTTCCGAGGAAGACTTCTCTTACTTCACTCTTTTGAAACCTGAATCACCCACGGGCCCGGCCACTTCATTGTTCGGCATATCTTGCACTCGACAGATCGACTCGTCGCACCTTATCAACCGACCCGCGGACGTCACTCGCTCGACTGTACAGAAGGCGGTAGTCGTGATCGCGGACAACCCTCAGGGCTT